AGTGAGGAAGTGAGCGTGATGTATTTGTGTGTAGAGGTTAAGAATAAGAAGGCGGCGGAAGGTTTTCGCCGGTTGTTGGACCGTACAGTTAAGACGATCATATCTTAAAGATTATACGGTGGGCCCCACACTCTTTACGTCAACCCACAATCTTCATTCAATTATCACTAATCACATTTCTTTCCCCTTTGGCCCCCCTTTTCACGCTCCATTCACCATTCATTTTTATTATTGCCCCCTTAAAGTACCAACCTATATTTCAATTTTTATATTTCTCACCATCCAATTCCAACATTTTTAAGTATCAAATCACTCTCAAGTTTTTTTTATGCTCTTATTTTTTTAAGATTGTATCCATTAGTATCATACTTTTTTAATTACGTCAAATAAGGTTAAGATTTTACTGTTGGGTTTGTTAGATCATAGATTCACAATAATATAATAAAGACATCATTCAAAATATCACCTAGTAAATCCCACATGGATTTTATTAAGTAGAATATATATTAACTCCTTAATCTTTGAAATTTCGTTATGCAATTTTATTATCATAAAAAATACTATCTGATTGTATTTATTTGACTTAGTTTGGATTAATTAAAATATTTCATAAACATGATAGCATCCAACCGAGGCTAAAATAGATTTGAAGTGTGTTTTTATTTTATTTTGAAAGTACGATTCAATCACGGTGTGTGCGGTCCTAATTAAAAACTTAAAATCATGGAAAGGGACATTATCTTAACCTCGTGAAAATCTATCACACGAGAAAAAAATCGAATACAAATATTACTCCCAACTCCCAAATCTCGACACAGAATCTGATCTTATTGACTGTGAATGTTTTCCAGCCCGTTTGGCAACAACGATTTCAGTGGAGGTGGGGGCAGGGGCCAAGTAGATTTGTAAAATATTGTGAAGATTATGAACTTTGTGTTTTGTTTGGGGAGATTGAAGTGCAGGAAATAGAAGGTACCTTCGTCTTTGAAATGAAAGGATTTGTGGACATTTACCATTTTAATTTTTTTTTTTTTGTATTTTTATATGATACAAGTATTATATTGTTCTTTAGCGAGGGTTGTTACACGATTATGAACAACCATAATCAATTATGATAATTATATAATTGATTATTAAAGTCAAAAAATATATTCTAGAAGTGTTGAAATGTCAATTGTGAACAATCATAATTAATTATAGAAATTAAATAATGTGTTTCATAGATATTGAGATGTAAATTGTGAATAATTATAATTGATTATTACAATTAGATAAATAATTATGACAACTACATTTTAAATATAAAAAAATCATATTATGAATAATTATAATTCATTATAAATGTATCATAATTGATCATGTGATGCTTTTTATTAGGCGTGAGTAGAAAGTTTCGAACAGCTCAAAATCGAAGTTTTTCGTAGTCTATATTTTAGTTCAAATTTTTTTTTTTGGAATTTTTAAATTTACGGGTTATTTGACTTGGTTTAATATGGGTTTTGTTGGTCGGGTTCGGGTTAAAATATTTGAACCCGCCGGTATCTATACCCGACCGACACATAATAATTAAAATTTAAAAGATATATTATTACTTATTAGCTAGTACCGTGACCGCTGGAGTAGAAGTTAGAAAGTAGAAACCTAAGCGCCGCAAAACTCTCCCCTCACACCAGTAGAAACTAGAAACCCTACCACTACTATAATCCATGTTTTCCACACTGTGCCATCATCTCCGATTCTCCACAATCTAATGCATTCCCAGGTACTCCATATTTCTCTTCTCACAAATGGGTCTCAATCGTTTTCCACAATTTCCAAACTTTTTTTCCCTTTTAACAAATTCCTTAATATTCGCAAATGGGCAATGTAATGCCCATCTTACATTAACGCAACGGTTCCGACAATGACATTTTTTCCCCTTTAATGTTTGATCAGACATTATCAGTGGACAACTTAGAGATTGTGGGGTGTTGTTGGATGAAGTGAAGTTTTGTGTTTTTCGTCCAAGATTGGATTTTTCGTTGTGGCCAATGATTGATTCATTTGCCGTGGGTGTTGAGCTCAAATGGGGGTTGTTTGTTTCGTGTTGTGAGTTCGGGTTATGGCCTAATCCAACTAATCCAATCCAGTTAATTCGAGACCCGAAAATCAGAACCCGATAAACCCGAATCATTGTTACGGTTGAAAATGGGTTTTTTTTTTTGAATTGGTTTGAATTGAGCTAAATATTTTTTTATCCGAATCCGTCTGAACCTGCCTCGTGTTGAGGCCTACTCTTCATTCCTCTAAACGACTTAACTTGTTTAAATAATCGATTATGCATTCATCATAATCAATTATGTAGATCCAAAATTAAAAAAAAATGAAATAAGCGATTTAAGTAAACAAATATTTTTATAAACTAATATATAACATCTTTTTAACTTATTTATTTAATTCACTTCTATTTTTCTTCTACCAAATAATTTTAATTTTTACTTTATTTATTCTTTACTTCTCTTTACTTCTCTTTTCACATTTTTTCTCTATTTCTTCTCACTTTTATCGTGGCAACTAAACACGGTATTAATTTAGATTATACGAGTTTTTGTTGAGGAATTATTTCATTGGACATTTAGTATGCACTAAATACAGGAAATTTGTAAAACGAAGGAGGAAAGTGGTTGTCTACTCTCATTTAGTGTGATGAAAGTATGTAGAATTGTGATAAAATAATAGTAAGTTTTGATATAATTTTTTATCACGCAAAAACAAGGGGAAGCGCAATGAAAAGTAGAATATAATCCATTATGTTGTACACTATAATCAATTATATAATTTTTTATTTGAAGTGTCCTTAATCTATGTTGGGCCTGGATGGGCTGGGGCCCAATACCCAGTATCCCATCAAATTCTCTAGTCTGATTCTATCTGCGTTGTTTTTCCAGAGTGAAGGTGGTAGTTACATTACGTTGTGTTTGGAACTGAAATGCATGCAGAATGAAAAATGAAGAGTAGAGAGTAGACATGGAAGAAGAAAAGGCCGCAGCATACTACGAGGAACTCACCCGCAAGGGCGAGGGAGCGGCGAGGTTCAAACAAGGTCTTGGCTTTTCCGCCTCCGCTTCAAACGACGACGTTCCGAAGCCCGGCTCGGCCCTCGCCTCCTCCTCTACGTTCCTCTCCAAATTCGTCAAAGCCTCTTCCTCCGCCACCCCTTCGGAGTCGGAGAAGCAAGTGCAGGTCCAATCCGTTCACGACAAGCTCAAGAAAAAGCCCTCTTCCGAGTCTAGGGTTTCGAGCAGAGACAAAAGTAGAAGACGAAGCAGGAGCAGAGAGAGGCACAGGGAATCGCGGAGGCGGAGCAGGAGTAGAGAGAGACAGAGGTATAGGGATAGAGATTCGGATAGGGAAAGG